TCACCAACTTACATCACAATATCAAAATCACACATCTAATTATTTATTAATTACATAAACATTACATTATTAATTATTTAATTAACCAAAAAAATTACATCTTTATTAATAACAAATTAATTCTTAAACAAAGCAATTAAATATAAACTAAGCAAACGTGCATTGCACGTTGCTTGCACCTAGTTTTAAAAATAAATAAAGATACAGTACGACACAATATTTTTTTCCTAATTTTAAACAAAATATTTTCACAAAGATATATGCTAAATAATGAAGTTTGAAAATAAAATTTTGATAAAAAAGAAGAAGTTAAGGACATAAATGCTACAATAATCAAAACTTGAGGACATTGAGTGTAATAAAATGTGACGCAAATAAAATCAATGTGTCTTTGTATCCACCCTTCAAATAAATTAAATGAGCTTGTCGGGTGCACAGATAATTTTGAGAAATGCTATTCATCTCCAGTCTATGTGGCGCTAATGTGACATTAAATGATAGGTGAAATTAAATAAGTCGTTTAATTCCACCTATCATTTACATCCACATAGATTGGGGATACATCCCCACTGAGGATGAATAACATTTTTCGATAATTTTTGCTGAATCTTTTCAATTTACGATTTTTTGGGATTTGCTTTTCATTTGATTTTTTACTTTGATTGGTGTGGCCTTTTCGAAACCAGGTGTTATCTTACTTGAGAATTCAACCTACGATTTAATTAACATTAGCTATGATAGCTAGTGAAAATGATAGATGTTTGTTTGTGTTAGTAAAGACAAAAATGAGAAAATGAGAAATTTGATGATATCAATTATTTTGAGAGCAAAAGAGCGATGGTTTGTCTATTACATGTATTTCAACATAAAGTGATTGTTACATTTTGTCATTTTGAAGAGTACAATGAAGGAAATGATTTAACGGGTAGTTACATTGTGTATAAGATAATTGGAGATGTTCAATTTGTTTTGATAAACCAGCTTGAATAATTGAAATTTTGAGGAGTTTGAATATAAAATCTTATCTTTCCTAAATTCAAAAGCTTGGAGCGGAGCTTGGAATCTTTACTTTCTATTAGATTAGTAAAACGTCCCATCTAACGACGTACCTTCTGCAAATTTAGTACCGGATCGATGCTTTTTAACTATACATTTTATTAATTTGATCAAAATTTATTAAAAATTTAATTTTTTTTTTCAGTGCAAACAAGGGTTAAATCTTGATGTTTATATGACTAATGTAATTCAATTAAATTTATCATCAAAAACTAAAACATCAAATTCTGTTATAATTATTTATTTATTGAATTACACTTAAAACATTGATGACAATAAAATTAGTCAAAGAAAAAA